ATAATCGCATTTTGTGTCTAGCGCTAGTTTTATTCCATTAGAACTGAAACTTTAATGCCTGAATTTAATGAGAAAAAAGTTTTAAAAATTGCTTAAAAGTACTTCTTTGCAATCTCTTTTAATTGCTTAGTTCGCAACTTAAACAAAGAAGAGTCGCATTCATAACGAAGAGAAGCTCATTTAATTTAAAATTAAACTTATATTAAAGTTGCAGTTGATTTTTAATGATATTAGGAAGTTTATTTAAATTTTAAACAAGTGCAGAACAAGCCCTCAGATTAAAAGATTAGAAGGACGAAAAAGGACCCAAGTAGTTTCGTGGTTTATTTCGACTAATTCTTCACTTCAGTGGAGCCACTTGTTGGACGGTGCGCTGTCCCAACGTCCCACCATAAGTATAAGTAAAAGCCCACATTATTACTTATACACTTTTAATTACTTTTTGATAATAATTTTTTTTTAATATTAATTAAGGAATATCAAACCTTCTGAAGACAAATTTTGGTCTACTAAACTTGCTACACAGCAAGACTTTACACTTATCAGAGCTGATGTCTACAGGTTGCTGCCCACAAATAAACTACTATTAAAATACACTTTCGTTTTCCTAACAACTCATACTAATAGTACATTCACACTGTCTCATTTAGGCCCTTACTCATTTATATTAATGAGTGAACGTTCACATTATTTTTTATTGCGACAAGAATAAGTGTTATGCCTACGTACTGACCACAATCCAGTGCCCCGGGAAGTGAGTGCCCGACTCGCATAGACTAAAACCAGCCCCCTTATTCCTAAAGACTTTGACATACCCCATGACTACGTAAGTATTACCTCGAGGTAGGGTCCCTATTAGTCATTTAAGACTGACTTCTAGCGGTGTAACCTACGCCCCACTACTGCTTCAGCTGATTCACCTGATTATTAACTGATTAACAAGTATTAAACTCTATTAATTAACAATGGCTGAAGTGAAGATGCACGTATTAGAGAAAACTCTTTTAGTTGACAATTACTAATCTGGAGATAGTGTGGAAAACTCCATTAGTTGTAGAATAAGGAACTCGATTAGTTAGAAGTGATTGTCATGAAGTTAGTGTAAAATACTTGACAGTACTAGATACGGAGATAAAATTAAGAAACCATTGGCAAAAGCTGTAGATAGGTAGCGTATAACATAAAAGTAGCTCATTATCATTTCGAATTACACACCCAAGTTCTCAATCATCATCTTTGGTCTTATTCTATTAACGAAGCATACATCTATCTTGTCATACAATGCAATTCTCGGCTGACAACGCATCTCAGTTACTCAACTACCTTAGCTTAAAAAGTCATTCATCGTCACAATTAACGTCTGATTCGCAATCCATATGTCAACTATAGTCATCATTATGCTCAGCGTCTTACATTATTATAAGTATAATCGAACCCCATAAAGATTTACTAAAAATCTGATCGAATTAATTTTAAAAGAATTTTTATAACAAACCATGAAAGGAAAGCTCGTAAAGGTCGTTAAATCGTCATCTATCCCATTTTGAGGTCTTCTTAAATTATCACATATACTATTTATAACTTTCAGACAATAGTTACAAACTTCGGTAAAACAAATATTTTAAATTCATCCTTCTTATGTTCTTATGTTGAGCCTTTTACGAGTTAATGCATCGGGGCACTTTTACTTTATGTGGGCTGGGAGGTTTGTGCAGAGTCCCACCCATCTCACAGACTAATTTGAGTATTCCTCATAATCTTCGTTATTATTCATTCTAAAATTATTAAATTTTATAGATACTGAGGTCTTGAAAAGATACAAATTAAACTCTACGACTGTCTGCAATTGTGACAAATTTCGGTTACAAGCAACAGAACTCTTTTTTTAGATTTTAATATACAAATGGAAATACCTTCTTAAAGTATTTAATCGATAAAACTACTTACAATTGACTGTGTTGCGTTAACAACTGTGGCTGTTGTGTATGGAGTAAATGCACTACCGGCTACTCTACAAGTTTTTCCACTCTCCTCCTGAGTGCAGTCAACAGCAGTCATATTGTCTAAATTCTTGCTATCATTTGTGCTATGAACATTAGAGGTCCTTTTTGTTGCAATTGTTTTATTTGCTGACTTTGTTGCTGTTGTTGCCGGTATTGTTGTGACTGTCATTTTGGGTCTTTTAGTTGGAGGTTCTGGTAAAATATCACTGTCAGTTTCTGTCTCTATGTCGACGTTGTCATTTTCCGTGCTTGGATGTTCTGACGGCAACGTTGTTACCTCAAACTTGATATGCTGTCCATGTAAATATTGTTGTTGTTGCTGGTGTCTCATTTGTAGTTGAACTAGTTGATGTTTTAAATGTTGCTGACGATGTTGGTATTGATGATGCTGGTGTTCTTCGGATTTGTAGTCATGATATAGTACTGAAGGTAAATTTTCTGGGAAATTTAATATTTTACTAAATGTTTGTGATGTTGCCAAATGATTCTGCTTATATTTATGATGTCGTTCATGTTGTTTGTGATGTTGCCGGTGTTTCTGATTATGTTCTGGTTCTACTTCAGTAAAATATTTACATTGTATTATTGAATGTCTATTCATACTTTTTAGTTCATGGTTGGGTTTACCTAATTTTATCAAGTCTTCCCCTAAAGTTGCTTTAATTTTCTTCTTTTTTGCTTTGCTCTTATGCGATTTTGGGAGTTTGTATGTTTTCTCTGACTTCTGCATATTTTTATTATTTGAAACGGTGGTATATCTTTTCGGATGTTTGTCTAAAAATAAAAATATATATGGATTAATAAAGTTAAACATGAAAAGTTAACATTAGCAAATAAATAATATGTATAAAAAAATTTATATCTCTTTATTAATTTTTTATGCAATATGTACAATGTGTAATAGATTAGACGTTATTGAATATTTGGCATACATAAATTTCTCTTTTATATTTCGTATCGATTTTATAATTGCATTTTAACAATGATATATGTTTAAAAAAGATATGAGCTTAATTTTGTTAAATTTTTGTTTATTATGGTTAAGACAAAAAAAACTTGCCTTGTTTGCTTTTTTTAATTAAAAGTAAAATGTACATTGTTCATTTTGTATTATATACTTTAATAATAGAAATATTTGCTTCTTTATTCCAACGAAACACAACCCCTACCAAAGTATATGTAGAGATTATGCTATGTGATAGTAGTCCAGGTTCTTCACACATATATTATTCGATTGGGTTATTGTGAATAAAAAATTCTTCTGATTATACAATACAATGCAATATGCTGTGGGTATTGAGAGAAGCTGAGTTCCTAATAAAATATATTCGAGCTAATCTAGTAAAAGATATCATGATTGGATCTATAAAAATAATATTTACATTGCAAATATATGCTATGGGTATTGAGATATGCTGAGTTCTAAACAATATATACGCGAGCTAATCTAGTAAAAGCTATCATGATTGAATCTATAGAAACGATATTTGCATTGTAAGTACAGACCATTAGTAACTGTTGCAGTTGACTACTGTTGAGTATATCACAGTTTCGTGGAAAAAGAATTTTGAAAATAATTATTAATTGTTATATCTGGCATATGTTAATATCATTTTAAAAACCATTATGTCTGACCAATTAGAGGTAAGGATCTATCTCAATAATAGTCTACTGCTCTGTTTCAAGTGTTCTCTTTTAAAATTCATTATCAGTTATCAGTTATTCTTTCAAAAATTTTTGTCAGTGATATGAGATAGAGCTTAATGAAGCTGTTTGTATATAATTCTTGCTACATTGGTATGGGGTTTTATTTATGTCACCGTTGACATTGTACTATATTCCGATAGAAGATACTATATTCCGATTAATTAATTCATTCTAACATCTACACTTTATACATTTATACTTCATACATTTATCTGCAACTTGCTTGCTATTTCTTGACTGGCAGAAATTATTTGTTAGTTGGCGGTACTAAATCCCGAAAATTAGTTCTTCCATTTCTAAATAAAGGTTGTTGTTGTTGTGACCCGCTGGGACTTGTAAGCAGATAATATGAAAAGATGTACAAGACGTTTACATGGGTAAGAAAGTGGGTGGGTAGTGGTAAGGGGTGATGGGGGTGGAAGAGGAGATGATGGGGAGGATTGAGTAGGTGGGTACAGTCCACCTCTACTTCATTTTTTTTTTTATTTCATTTTATATTATTTTATTTTATGTAATATATAAAAATATAAAAACATAATAAATATCTTTTTAAGTATACACAATTTGTTAAAAATTACTTTATTTTAAAAAATAAGAAAGTTTGTATAAAATTAATATAAACTAGTTTAATTTCATATATAAGAAATATTTTTAATTATTAAAATTTACCACAGTTTTCCCACCAGCAGAAAATTTCACCATCTATGCACAGGCAAACTTCACAGGGATCAAAACGTATTAACTAAAAGTGAAAAATAAGGTAAAATTTTGTTGTTTAAAACAAAATTAAATAAATTTTGAATTAAATATAATTTAAAAATAAAAAACAAAATAGAATGCAGTTCCAATATCATTAATAATAATTTTCTTATAAAAATTAAAAAAAATGTTGCAGATATGAGACTTAAAGTGTCTTTTAATTGTATTAAAATATTATCAAATGGGTTAAATTAATATTTAATCACTATTTTATCAATAAATAAGCATTATTACTTATTTTATCATTATATTATTTTAATGGTTCATTTATTTAAATGAATTGGATTTCTTCTATTAACAGTCCAAATTTCAATGTTGTCATATATGAATAAGGAAGTATATATTTTCCAATTCAATTTTTAAATTAAATTTATACTTTCATAGTTACAAAGTATTTATCCATTGGTATATTAGAAACGTATGTCAGAAAATCAACAATGTCTAGAAATACAATACATTTCATAACAATATAAATTGAAAGTACACACACATAGTTTCGTTGAAGAATCCTTTCAGCAACAAAAAATCGAAACTTTTTGAGATTCAACTATTTTATTATATTTCCAATAGTTGATATTGACAATTTACAATACTGAATATTTTTTTATAAAACTGAATAGAAATTAAAATGATTCGTATTTCCAGCTGATTAAATAAAATTTGTTACTGTGACCGCATAAGTTCTTTGCTATTGATATTCATTTATTATTTTAATGAATTTATAATTTTTATCTTAAAACAAATTCTCAAAGCTGAGATTATACCTTTTGTCCATGTGTATACTTTGCTCCTCCATAAAAACATGACGCGGCCCTTTCGTGTGGTTCCAAATCCTCTTCTTCATTTCGTTCCGTTAAATCAGAAAGTTCTTTACTTTCATTCGTTTTTGGAGATAGTGGACGAGTATTATTTTTAGCCATGGATTGTTTATCATCTATATTAGTTGATAACTGGTCATGATTCGTATATTCGAAGGGTACTTTTAAAATGAAAAGTAGAAGTAAATATATAAATTTAATTAAATATTATGTATAAGTTCGATCATTCAAATTAATTTAATCTTTTACATTAAATACAATTAAATACAATCATCTACAATAGCTTAAAAGCTATGACGTATATATAACAAAGTTATATGTAAATTATTTAAATTAATTATTATTTTAATTTGAATTTAATTTTAAAGTTATTATATGTTTATAATCAAATATACACTTAAAATGTAGTGATATGTAAATAATTTCTTATGTAAATAAGAGTGAACAAAGTCTCATATGTATAATATTTCAAACTTTTTATATTACAATCATATTCTAAAAACCATTCTTATAATTAATATATCTTTTTTTTTAATTCAACATAAAAAGTAGTTAATAGAATTTAATTAGATTCGCTACTTACCAGCTGTAACTATATTTTCCCTCATCGATTCATAAAAGGAGGATACGTAAATAATACATACACAAATAATCTTTGTATATTTAAACATTTTTATTATTTTATATTTCTGTAAGTTAGTTTAATTGTGAGATAGTTAATAATATAAGATATTCTCCTTATAAAAATAATTTCATATATAATAAAACTATTAAACATGACATTAAGATTATGTGGAGTAACTTAAACCAAAGCTAAAATTAAAAGCAATTTTTATAGAATAAGTGCACTTATAAGATAGTGGAGAATTTTAACATTCGATAAATATTATTATACATGTTTTAAATTAGCTTTAATTTTTTTTCTATTTTATTATTATTTTCATAAAAAAAGTTTAAATTTAATTTTTAAAAATTTTAATAAATCACGATTTTAAATTGCCATGCACTTGAGCTTTTTAAAGTAAAGTATATGCTTGTGTGAAATAGTATAAAATAAATTAAATTATAAATTAAGGACTCTTACATTGTATTATT